TGCTAGCCTGCACACCGAGCGATTGAATGTGATTGGTTGGATCTATAAGTAATAACCAATCATATTCATTTACTCGGCAAACAGGCTAGTCGCTTTCCGGTCGCTTTGTCGACTTAAACGCGTCCAGTGGCATCTACCGGCTGGCATAGTTTGGCATATAGTTTAGCATCAGCGGTAATCAACAAAGTTATTGCCGGTTATTACACAATTTCCCATAATTTTTGTGTGAATATCTGTCAGTGTATCTAGATATTGGAAAGTTCTATTACTATAATCGAAAATGAGTAAAGCACATCCACCAGAGCTTAAGAAGTGAAGTATATTTTTTTCGTAAGCCGATGCGATCTCGCTATCGGTATTGTTATTCTTTACATGTTTGTTTTATTACATTATATTTCTCCATATTAACGTTTCTGTACTTTTTCAGATACATGGATAAAAGATTATCCCGTAAGTAACAATGCAAATATGTACTGTAAAGTTAAAGTTACATCTTCAAGAGAAAGATTGAGATATTTGAAAAATAAGCCTTGCTGAAAGGTTAAGTTTGTGTAGTCACGCTTGTAGAATATTAAATCGAAGATTTCTTTAGTGAAAAATAACTTCTTACATAAAGACATATTTTCTGAATATTTTTTGTATTTTATAGAATAAATATGAATTTTGTTTTTGTAACATAAAATATTTGTAAGAAGACTAATTGCGAACATATACAATTAAAATCATTTTGTAGTTTTATTATAAGACATGCAAGAAGTACTTTAGCAGTAGGAAGCAATATAAATATTTTATTCTTTATTTTAATTTTACTCAAAATATCTTGCAGTAAAGTTGAATGGCGGTCGGCGTGTTGTTGGAATATTGAGAGGTTTTGATCCATTTATGAACATGGTCATAGATGAAAGTATAGAAGAATGCAAGGATGGTACTAAAAACAATATAGGAATGGTGGTAAGTTTTGTTGTGATTTTATATTTATTTTTATGAGAGCTGATTATATGTATAAAATAGAATATTTTTGTATTATTATCAAGATAAATTGTATATTTGTAGGTAATTCGTGGCAACAGCGTCATAATGTTAGAAGCTTTGGATCGAATATAATACATATTTTACTAGAACTTATGTTTATCTTATCTGTATCTTAAATAATTATATTTTTAAATAAATAATTGACTTTTTTTAAGATATAATCAAGATATTGGCAATATTGGCTTCTTTGATAATTCAAATAATATTTTAATTTTTTTATGTATTGTAAATGATTTCTTCGATGGCATTTCTTCGATGGCCCTATTGAGCCTGGATCTTCTTAAAATAAATCATTTTAATATGAACTTTAGCTTTTGTCTGATTTTATTATAGTTGCAATTTTTATGATACTAAGATGTTTTAGTATTCAATTTATACTGTGGAAGATGAAGTTTTTTGTTTTTAAAATTTATTTATTGTATTTAGCTCCTCCTCTCTCTCTCTCTCTCTCCTCTCTCTCTCTCTCTCCTCTCTCCTCTCTCTCTCTCTCTTTTAATCTGAAGAATGAGACACTATCACAATTTATTCACGGATTATCTTAGGATTACATTCATGTTTGGGATTTGTTTCTATTATAGTGGAATATTTTCCTAATCAAATTTCGTGTCATATATATGCAGTATCGTTTATAACTTTAGGAATCAAAGTATGTAAAATTGGTTGATAAAAATGAGAGATAGAACGCGAAGATGATCTATATCTCTTTCTATTCAACCATTTATAATATATTATGAAAAGAAAAGGAGATCGGTCATCCTTACTCTTTCATTTTTATTGATCATATTTGATAATCAGATATGAATGGCACATATTCTAGATCTTTGCTAGGAAATATCATTCAAATCTCTTGTTTGACAAACGATTCTAATAAGCTGTGGGAAGTTATTTAGCATCTCCATCCATCCTATCATGAACGGTTTGAAGGAAAAATAACTTACACTTTCTATACAAACATAAATGCTTTATTAACAATTTTTTATTACAAATGTAGGAGTGAAGATACACGAATTGTATATACTGTAATTTGATTTTTATTATACTTTTTGTCAATACATTGAGAAAATAAATAAACTTATTTTATTGATCCTGACGCAATTACAGTAAATATATTATCATAAATATAGTTAATTAATTTAATTCTTTACAAAGTATATAACATATTTTTTCATAATCTTTATCAATCCTCTTCATATTATATTTTCTATTACATTGTTATGGGTTTTTGTATGACAAAATTTATATTTTTTGTATCCTAGAAAAACAATGTTTCTATTTGAATAAATAGATATCATATCAATATACCAAAACCTAAAAAATAATTACATATCGTCAGATCAAAAACGCTGTTGTATTTCGTACATCATTTTGTTACATTAAATTCATAATTATAAAGTATAATTTTTATAAACAAACATGTCCTTATATTAAAATACACAAATTTAATATATTTGCTAATTTGAGATTTACTCAAAAACCATCTATTATAACGATAACAGACATGCGTTTCAAGCTATCTACACAGTGCAAACATATATTTAAAGAATTTATATTAAAGAAAAATCTAGAAAACAAATGCGGAATATGTTTTAAAACAGATTTTATTTCTGTAGACGTTATCTACAAGTCTATAATAAAAGCATGACTATATTAAAAGAAATTTTTGATTTACAAGGCACTTAATATTTCATTGATTTTTCGCGTTCAGGAACATTACTTATCCTCAACAAGTGATAGATGTGTTCTCGTAATAAAATATTTTATGACAATTGTATGATAATTATACCGTCCTTTTACATTTCAGCAACAAGACAAAGCACAGCAAATCTTGAATAGCGAATATTTCACGATGTATGCATAATTCACATACAAACTTAAATTTATTATTTAAAATATTTCACATTATTTTTTTGTACTGTTTTGCTCTTATAGTAAATTGTTCTATAAAATAAAAAAAGATTTCATTGAACGCACATACATACATACATATATATATGAGAAAGATTTACTCACACAATAAATCTTAAAAAATATGTTATTTTCTTGTTTTCGAATATTTTATGAATATAGCGCATCACAAAAGAATAATTTAGTAAACATTATTTTCAAGAAAAAAAAAACAATAAAGTAATACGAATACATTGTACATAAATCTATATCACAAATGTAACGCATAGCTTAGACTGTCTTTTGTATATCTTTTTAAATGCAAAAGAAAATGATAAAATAAAAAAAAATATTTCATATTGTTAGTTGTAATTCATTAATTTATAATTGAAAAAATATAGACTTTATATATATGGTATGTAGTGATAATTTTTAATCTGCTGATATTTAAGTCTATTTCAAAATATTATAAATATATGTGTAGCCACTTTTACTCATATCTTATAAATTACATACTTTATATTAAACTAACATATTTCTTACACACATAAACACGTACATTATTTCGTGTATCATATACATGTCAATTTTTAACATCGCAGCAGTCATTCGTATTTTCTATAGTCTATGTGGTGCTTTAACACACCAAAGTTTACGATTTGTATCTTGTAATTATGTGACAAGATTTTTGTATAGAAAACAAATTCTTAAGAAACCTTTTACTTGAAAATACAAGTTACAGAATAAAATATATAAATATACACATTTTAATTTCATTATTATTAAAATGCTAATAATAGAGTAAAATATATAGACGAATATAGAATGGATACAATTATGATACAGAAAAAAAAATTTTTTCGTGAGGAAAAATGTATCACAGTTAAATGCGATCCTATTTAAATAAAAGACTAATTATACAAATTATTACATTAACTAAAGAAATTATAAATTGCGTAATTTTTCAAATGTTATACATGTATATTAAAATTAAAAAATTTTTTGAAAGGACGTTCAATATAGGATAGTGTAAAAAGAATAATTAAAATTTATGAATGAAATATTTTACTGTGTTTAAATAGTAAATAAAATTTTGTTATTCTAAAAATTTAAATAATTCCACTGTTTAATATTTTTTTAATTTTACAAACATCGTGAAAAAGCTTAAAATACTTGAAATAAATCGTCAAAGCAATTTTTTGTAATTATATAATTTTTGTATTAATCTTTGCTAAAAATATTATTTCATTATTTTCTCTAATATCAAGTAAATTTTATCTTATAGTTATTAAACATTATTTACGATTATCCAATAATATTTATTCGACACAAGAAAAAACAGAACATTAATTTTAACAAAAGTTAATACGAAAATCATAATAGTAATAAATTATAAAAAATTGCTTTAATGATCCATTTTACACTGTTGGAAAAAATGTGTCGAATTTAAAATAAATCGCATGTCTCAAACGATCCACTCAAGTTTTGGGTCAATTTAACATAAGATGAATATGTTAAAAGATTATACAAATATTTATGTAAGAAAATTAATACAAAAAAAGTAATATCGACACAGTTTGTAAACAAACCATGAAAGTATTTTTTTCAGAGGATTAACATTTATGATATATTAAATTAACACATATTTCATTTATGCATCCTAGAATTTACGTTTTCAAACATTATTTTTATGTTACTTGTTCAACTTACTCATAAATTATGTCATTTTAACATTAAGAAACATTAAATATCAATTTCATACAAAATCTTTAAATAATATATATAATCATATTATATTAAATTAATACTCAAATATGTTAAAAATTCAATACAAATTATTAACAAGAACCTGAATGGATCGTTTTCAACACAAATACATAATTTTTTTTATTGTATAGGCATTCTAAACTTCTTCATGACACAAAAATACAAATTATATAGATTTTATGTGATATATATATATATTACATAAAATCTATATAATTTGTATTTTCGTTTTATTAAATCTATATACATATATATATATTATAATTATATATGTACATAGACATGTAATTTATATTTTGTATTTAATAGGAATGTAAAGAAAAGTTATTAGTAACCGGTAATTGCAACGATAATTATAACGGTCGATATATTATTAATCTTATTAAAACAATTGCATTAAATATCCCATAAAAGTAAAATTTAAAATATTACATTCGCGAAAAGAATATGAACAATTCAAATTCGTCGCGGTTTTTATTTACATAATAGTTGAAAGTGTAAATTAAGAAATATTTGCATCAACGAGCTTTATATACATTTCATATCATTAGGCTACACAACGAATTCAAAAGCACCAATCGATATTTCCACAAAAGAACTTTAAATTATTTTGTTCAAGCTTCACTCATGTGCTATACGAGATACGTCTTAACATTTTATATTTAACGTTTTTGGTTGCACAATGAGATAATTCCTTGGTTGCTCTTCCTACATCTTCCTTCCACACAAACTCTTTGTAATAAATTATATTTGGCGAAATATATTTATATTTGAAAACTAAAATAGATTATAAACTAAAATAGATTATATGCTTCATCTCGATGTAATAGGAGATTCTTGCTTGAAATTTTCAGGTTCAATTTTTTTCACGGAAACAAACGGATTAAATCCTTTTGTCTTTGCATTGCTGTCTCTGTTAATCGTCGATAAATTTTTATTATTATGCTTCTCTTTATTATGCTGCTGTTTATTCCGACTATCGGATATATCCTCGCATTTTATTCTTTTTACTTTCCTTTCATATGAATTGTGAATTAATTTATGGTTTACTTTATTTTCCAATTTTTTCAAAAGTTCCGATTTTTTTTGCTTTTTCGAATCTACTTTATTAAGTATACTACTTATCGTATGTGTTTGGATGTGGCTTTTGAAGGCAGCAAGTGACGTGCAAGTATAGTTGCACTTGTCACATGCAAGTTCTTTCTGATCGGTGTGTTGATTAGTTATGTGTTTTTTCATATCATAATTATTACTGAAAGATTCATCACAAAAATTACAGAAGAAAAGTTTCTGACCCTTGTGCTTTGCGATATGCACCTTGAAATACCAATCAGTAGTGATATATTTCGAGCAATAATCACAGAAAAAACTCTTCTTTTTTTTTTTAAATTTCGATTTATGTACTTTTGGTATTGGAACGTGCGTCAGAGACTTTGGAGCATTTACAGTGG